ACTTTCTCTTCCAGTTACAAGAGTGTGCAGAGAAGACTTGATTGGGTCTAGACATTCCTTCATCAAAAGGTATAAACATCAACAAACCTTATTAAACCACTTTTGGAATAGGTGGAGGAAGGATTACTTGCTTTCTTTAAGATCTGTGAACTTATGTCCACCTACTAAAGTGTCTGGTCAGTTTAATGTTAATGACGTAGTCCTTGTACATGACGACAGTTTACGTAGGAATTTGTGGACACTAGGTAAGATAACAGAAACTTATCCTGGCAGAGATGGTTAGGTTCACTCTTGTCTTATAAAAACTCAAACAGATAATCTAAAGAGATCAGTACAATTGCTGTACAACCTTGAAGTGCATAATTAGTAGTAAAGAGTTACTGTGTAATAATCTGATTTGTTGTTTGCACATACATAATCTTCAGAGTATCTTTATTGTTTGTTGCTAAATGTAGTTTAGTTTATATGATTATTGCGAATTTTGATTTGGTATAATGTTTCTTATTTAGTAATTACTTTATAAGTTGATTTAATTGTTTAAACATTACTTAATTGTTATTTACAATTTGATGTTTTTTATATGGTATTAAAATGTCGTGTTTGATTTAGAAATACTGGTTTATTTTGTATTTGGTTTGTGTGAACTTAAAAGAGTTCACAGGTGGAGAGTGTTGTAGAGAGAGAAGTAAAGGGCGCTACTTGGCAGTAATGCAATGCATGTAAGTAGAAACGAAATATCGTTTTGATTAGGCAACATGATTTCTGTGAAGGTAGTCCGCCTAACAATAGGACAGTTGTAAATATATAAATATAACGGATAATAAATAGCATTAGAAAAACTGAACCACCGGATGCTTTGTGTTGGCTCTTCTTCGGGCCGCCATAGTTAAATGCAAGTTCGTTACACTTGGCTTGGAACAGAAAAAGTGCTTGAGAAGCTGCATGAAGGAAATTAGATATACCAGGGGAATTTCAATTGCAGCTATGCTAGTGGACTTAACAAACGAAAATATATCAGTCAGAGTTGTTAATTCAAGTGACAGACCACACATATTTATAAAATAAAAAGAAATTACTTAATATTCCTCTATAATAATTATTCTATCGATCTGAATCAGAGTCCACTTGAATTAAAAGATTTAGTTGCAACTTCAGAATTAAATGCTAATTAAATTAAAGTTGCAAGTCGTTTCAAAGAAGAATTTTAAGGTATCTTCTCATCTTCATCCAGTGACCTTCGATAGCACGTCCCAAGAAGCAAAGTTAAACTGAATAGTTAGAATCTACATAGTAGGGATGTTCAAATGAAAAGGTACAAAACAACACTATAGATATACTGAAGTCTTTATTCACAAGTAATTGCCAAAAACCTGAGCATAATTATCCTACCGTTTCACAAGCCAAAGGATTCCGTCTTCCCAGAATTCCTGTAGCTGTGACAGGAGCCAGTCCTCCACTGTGTCCCTCAGCTCGTTATCCGAGTTGAAGCACTTCCCTTTGCGATGTCAATTCTCATTAAGTCATTCACCTTGTCAATGAGTTTAACCGTGATTACCAGTTTTACCTGGCCTGATCTCGGGTCATCACTCAAACACTCCAAGCCTTCACAAAAACTAGTACTCCACTTTTTCACTGACTATTCGGACACACAATCTGCTCCATATACAGCCACCATCTGGCGATTAATATTGAGCAGTTTAACCTCTTCCACAGTCAGAAATCTGATAACATCTTGCTGCTCCTCAGTCATCAAATTTTGCAATGTAAATACCAAGATATCATCACATGCATTGCCACATCAATTGGATGGAACACACAACTGCCTGCTTCACTCTGACATTATGTGTGGGTGCTTGTGCACAGCCACATTGGACACTACATTCGTGTCCTTAGTTGTCTCTCTACATCACTCCAAATCGGCATATTCAAATTTCAACTGGTTTGGTTCTTACAATATTCCGTACCTTTACATTTGAACACCCCTTATACATTGTGACCACTTAAGAATTAAGACCCTTGAGTTAAATAACACATCACATGATTAAAGATGGTAAGGCAACAAGAATCAGCAATAATGTTCATAAAAATGAATACATTCATTTTATGAAAATTATATGCAATTTTTATTGCCTTAGCATCTCCAATAACACTTGAAGTAGCTAAAAAAGGTCTAACTCATTGGGAGGGAAAGGGACTACTTCACTTATAAAATCATTTTCTGCTGATAAAATATCCCTTTTCACTTGCTTGCAGAATAATTCAAAATGATATGTACTGTCACAAAGTAAATGTAGTGCTTCCATTGTATGATATCACCTAATGCAAAGTTCTGCACTGACCACTGAACAAAAATCTTACTACGCTTCTCTTGTTTGTGTAATAAAAAAGTGTGGTCATTATTCATTCCTTCTCCTATTTTCATTATTTCACACACACATATTGTGAAAATTTTATTACTACAACATATTTGGTCATTATATTTTCAGCTAACTTCACATTTACTTGCAGTTCACAGAAATTTGTATTGCCACACACCTTGAAATTTTTTTATATTATTACCTGTAACTAATCTAATCTGAAATTTAAAATTCTCCCTTATGCTTAATATAGCTTTGAAAACACTTTCCTAATAATGCCACACTTTGGAAATGCAAAATGTAATTTCTAAAAAAAATTTGAAGCATTTTTCAGTGCCATTTACTGATACAGTACAAAGTCCGAAATATCCAGAATGATCTAAAATCCACACCTCAAAACCACCAACAATGTTTTTCTCATAAGCTTTACACATGCACATTGATTCCCCCCCCCTCTGTGCATAATAAAACATCTGGAGAGTCCTAATTCTTAATTTCACTTCAACACTTATCACAATACCTTGTTATTGAAGAAACAATCATTTGCATGATCAGTAACTTGGCTCCGTTGCTGCATATCTGCTTGGCACACATCTCAAACCAAAACATTTAACATAGCTACATCGTTGATCTGACGCCAACCTGGTGAATCGTTATTATACTTTCCTTTCATCACCGCATGTTTATGAACACATGACAAATTGAGTAATGACTTGAGTAGTGATGCCTAAACAATTTTTTTATGTTAGTAATTGAATAATAAAGGAGTGTGGTAGCCTTTTATATTGACATTCCGCTTGGCGATGATTACAGGTTTAAGTTAAATGCGCTATTAAATGTTGACGAGGAAAAATTTAGCAAAAATTTCTTTCCATATGCTAAAAATAGATTTTGTTGATGATACTTATAGACCCAAAGATTACATTTAGGGCTATTTGAATTAAGAATAACTTATTTGTTATTCACATAAACCCAGAACCAGCGCCAGGGCTCGTATGACTGCACTGGGTCGCAGAATTTAGGACCCACAGAAGCTGCATCAGGAGGTAAGATATCTAGTGCCGACGCTCAATAAGGCTTAAGTATATGTGGAAATTTATTCAGAACTCTGATAAGCCTTAAGCATGTGCAAGAAATAGACATAAGCATAATAAATAAATAAACAAATACAATTCAGGCTTAATTGTCTCAGTGTGCGATAAAAGCAAGATAAAATTTAACGGAACAACTTGTCATTAGTCACCAAGCTCATGATGCATAGCCAAATATGTATAGTGAATGATAGCCAAATTTGATGATAATAGCTGCAAATTTTAAAAGCTTTTCAGATATCGCAAAACAAAGGTGAAATTTTCCAATTAACGGATTTTTTAAAGGAATGTGGAGACGTTGTAATAAATGAAGATGATTAACACCAAGAATAGGATCACTCATTCCCTGGCCACTCCATAGAGCATGCCTTTAATGATAAACAATCCAACCTCAGACGACTGTGTCGGCGAGGCGCCATTCCACCGAACAGTCCGCAGCCACAATCCATCACACTGAGGACTGTGTGGGAAGCCGCCCCCCCCTGACACAGCACTTAATATCTACATGAGAGTGCCCCCACAGCCAAGGCAACAGACAAGACAGCACCAGTACAGTCCCTGCCAAGCCTGCACCTACCATAGGATGGATCTATGGTTCTAGTCCTGTGAAGTCTGATTATTTACCCAAGAAACCGAAGCCATCAGGACACAAATCCAGCCACTGGTCTGGAAGAACCCTGGGTCTCTCCCATTTCTGGTCAGTTTAAAAGAAGTTTTTTATTGTGATAACAATGCTCCTCAATTATCAATCAATTAATGAATGGCAAAATCCTTAGTATGGTTCTAGATCCAGAAAATACTGCTACCAATAGTGAAGAAAGTGACACAGAAGTTACTGAAAACGAAAAATTTGACAAGTTAGTCGGAATTCTCGATACACCAGTTAGAGGACTTCAACAATGTAACTAAACAAGAGATTATTTCTGTCTACAGAATTAAAGTGAACGCATTAGCACAAAAAATTGAAGCAACTTAAACCACTTACATTGAAAGAAATGTTTCATAAGGTAAACAAATAAATATTAATTTTTTTGGTAAATTTTGATACTCTTTAGATCATAAATGCTTCATTATTTCATATTTTTAATTTTATAATTTCCTACATGCTGTCTTACTAGATTTAAACTGATGATCTAATATCCAGAAAATCCCAAATCCGGAATCACCGAAGTCTGGATTTCAGACTTTGTACTGTAAAGTAAAATGTTATTTCTAGACACAGGCTAGAAATATTTGCGCTTGAATAAAACTTACCTTTAATAAATTACTTTCTGTAATAATATGTTATGTATTATACAAAAAAATAATACATTAGTTCAGCACTCGAAAATGGAAATACGTACATCTACTTTAACTGATAGGACATATTTTAAGATAGAAAGCAGTAAAATAATAATTCAAATCGAGGGAAAATGATTAAATTAGTGAGAAAACTACTACTAACAGCTAATTTTAATTCAGGATTATCATATAAAAATCTGAATAAATCATAAAAGCAAGAAGAGAAAGAAGTAAAGAGAGAAAAGAAAAACAAATGCAAAAATGCTATTACTGCTTTTCTAGCTTCGCATACAAGATCCTCCATTGGTGTAGTCGTAGAACTTAATCCTGGCCCTTGTTCTTTCGGTAGCTTAATGAATAGAAGAGCTACATGTTCCCATCTCTCCATCAATGCGCACTTTATAACTTCTTCACGAAAATATGCAGCATTTATTTCATCATCTGGCTCATCCAAATTCATAGGTGACTCCCTTGAACTCATTTTAACAGCTTCTATTTTCGAAATTCTGAAAAACAAACATAGACTTAAAATGATATTGCGGGATATTGCAATAAAAAGTCAATTCCAGCACCACCACCTCCTTCTTTTTCTAAAACACTTGTAAAATGATCAAGATTCAGAAACTACTCTGGATTAAAAAATTCTATCCTCTGTATAGAAGACAACTTATAATTAAAATCATTGGAATCGTAGAAAATTTGAGGGAAAAAGCAGATGAACTATAGAATGTAAGCAAATTACTATTCATACTAGGATTCTGGGTTAGTCTACGTTTTAGGGTACCCTTTGGATTATCGCCAAGCTGTTGCTTAATTTATGGTAACCTGAGTAGTTAAATGTTATGGAAACCTTATTATGACATGATTGGTTGCGTGATTGTGTGAATTTGACTGATGGGAAAATATTTGTAAGGGCTTATTTATGTGATGGATGTGGGTTAGGAAGTACATTTCTTATGTTGTGCTTTACAACATAACATGCCTAGTGGTGGTATGATTAACCTGAAGTTTCTATACACTTTAGAAGGCTTGGGAAAGAAGGTAAAAGTATATTTACGGGTACCCCTTGGCGAAAATTGGCGGTACATGGATACAGAGTTTGTGCAATTCTTCGACTTATTTTGCCTTGTATTGCCCCAAAAATCGCCACTACACAAAGCCAAATAACAAGAAAAAGATTTGCACAATCCCGGTATCCATGTACACATCGACCTATTTTCACTTAAAAAAAAATCCCAGAATTGCACAAACTAAGGCATTGCGCACTCCCTTGACTCTGTCCATGTACACATCGAACTATATTCACTTAAAAAGGTCAAAGGAGCAGCCAACAAAAAATTATATAATCTCAATAAACTACATTTTAAATCAAACAATGAAATAACATAAAAAAGGAAATTCGTCTTTGTGCTACACAAAGGAAATATCCACTTACCCTATTTACGAATTAAAATGTCTTCAGTCAAACAAAATTCCTTAACAGCACCCAAAAACTTTCTAAAATTATCTGAACTAGAATCTGCATACTGGTGTCACCACATAAATTCAGAAAATAAGAGTCAAGAATATCCTTAGTAGCGCCGTTATAGTCTGACCATATGCATTTCCTTCCTACAAACAGGACACTCAATAATGGCTACTAAGTAAACCTTCACTTACAAACCAGTCAAATAATGCTCTTTTCCCCTTTCTTTCCAAATCGTACAGAAACTTCAAATTAAATCTTACCACATTCAGCCATTTTACCGTCTAAACCAGGAAACAAGCAATGTACTTCCTAACCAAAACACAGCACAAGCCCTTACAAATTCAACACAATCATGCAACCGATTGCACCATAATAGGGTTTCCATAACATTCAACTACTCAGGCTACCATATATAAACCACAACTTAGCGATAAATGAGATAACTTAACAATAATACAAGGGGTACCCTTCCTCTACTCCAACCAAAAAGAAAACACTGACTAACTGGTGTGTAAATGAAGATTTAAACGGCTTCGCTCACCTTTAGGTAAATTACACAGTGAGATTTAAGGATTTGGAAACCGAAGCTTATATCAACACTATCGAGGGTATTTGGTGTGTAATAGAAAGAAATGTTTGAAAGAAATGCCATCGACAGTCTGGAGGATATTTTTTCATTTTTACTTTTGTGAATTTATGTGGTAACAACAGTACATGGATTCTAGTTTAGATAATTTTAAATAGTTTTTTGATGCTGTTAAGGAATTATGTGTGTCTCGCATATTGAAGAAACAGAAATTCTTAAATAAGGTTAAATCAATATTTTCTTTTTCTACTACATAGATTAGATAACATGTATTTCCATTCTTATGGTATTTCCTTATTTCACTTAAAATGCAATTTATTGAGATTATTATTTTTTGGACTACATTTTACTGGGGAGCCCATTGGATGTAAGCAGCAATGGCACCCCCCCCCAAAAATTCGCCAAAGGGTACTCTGAAAAACCCAAAACAAATTTTACAGTGGACAATCAAATTATACCTACAACGAAATATATGTACTTTCTGATTAACCATACCTCACCGAAAACTTGTGAAAAAGCATTCATGAGGTAATGCAGTATGTTGATAAAACAGTTATATGGTTCACAAATGTCTCCAAAATAGTTATGTGATCCATGAATATCTCCAAAAACTATTCATATGGCAATCCAGTTATGCCCATAGCGTACATTTGTTTGGTACAAATGTCGTATACGGCCCGGGATATATGTAGTCGTCAAACGTGGCAATATTTTGTGTTGGATGGTTTAGCTGAGCTTTTGTTTGTATGGCAACTCATTTTACATGGAAAGTTTTGTGAGGAATGTGGTTGTATTTCATCGTGGTGGTTGTTTGGTTACCTGTTGAACAATGGCATATAGATTCATGAAGGAAGTTGTGGAGATATATTAGCCACATGTTTTAGAGTGTATTCAAGCTAGATTTAGTTCGAGAAGATATGTTGCTAGAGTTATTAACGAAGCAGTTGTTCATGGTTGTCTTCATGCTGCCAGAAAGTGTATTTTTGCAGTTTTTATGGGATAAAGGATTTTTGAAGCCAAACTTGACATGTGAGAATTGCAGGTCTGATGTGAAAATTCGGAAGAAAAATTGTGTTTCTAATGGATTTGCAGATGTTGAGGGTAAAAAACATGGTTCTCAATGAAGTTTGAGGTTTGGATTCTGGTTTTCCCGCGGTAAGTTAACTTTAGAGGAAATTTTTATTGTAATGTTTGAAACTTTGAATCGTCGAAAGACATAGCCAAGTCGTGACATTTTGGTTCACATGCTTTGTATGATTGACATAATTTTATTAATAAAAGTATTTTGGATTATATATGTGATAAGTCTGTCCTTATAAGTTTTTGTTTGAAATTAAAATTTTGCATTTTTGGGGAACCATTTTGAATGAAAAGTGAAATTAATGTTTTATTGTTTTAACTCTGTAGAGAGTTATTCAAATTGTTGTATTGCTTTAATTTTGTGTTATTTTTTTTAAATTTATTTGTGTTGAAATTGTTTGGAATTTATTGTTGTTTAGCTTAAATTTGTAGTCAAACATTTTTGGTGAGAAACTTCACACTTTTACTTATCTAAATGTTTTGTTTTTATTTCGGTTTTTTAGCATAAATCGGGTTCAAAACATGGTTTTTGCGTTTTCGCAGACATTTTAGGCTTTGAGTTTGAAATGTCAACAAAAAATATAGATAAATAAAATCACGGTTTTTTCGCAAAAATGTTCGGTGAGAAATTTTTCACCAACATGGTCCATATACGACAGCAGGGGTAGTCTACATTTTAGGGTACCCCTTGGATTATTGCCAATTTCATTTATGGTAACCTGAGTAGTTGAATGTCATGGTAACTTTATTACGACATCATTGGTTGCATAATTGTGGTGAATCTGACTGATGGGAAAATATTTGTAAGGGCTTATTTATGTGTTGGATGTTAGTCAGAAAGTATGTTGTTTATTTTGTGATTTATACAGTAAAATGGCTGTTGAGAAGATTAATTTGAAGTTTCTCTACGATTTGGAATGAAAGGGAAGAAAAGCAGAAATTGAATTTTGTGTAAATGAAGGTTTACTTAGTAGCCATTATAAGTGTCCTGTTTGTACGATGGAAATGCATATGGTCAAACATAAAGATCGTTCAAATGGCTTTGTCGCAACAAATGGCACCGAAAGTGATACACTACGGAGGGTATTTTTGACTCATATTTTTGTGAATTTATGAAGGCAGTATTTTAGTTGACATAATTTTAGGATGCTGTTAAGGAATTTTGTGTGCCACAGACTGACGACACAGAAATGCCTAAATAAGGTTAGTGGATATTTCCTTTGTGTAGTGCAGATGCGATAAGTTGTATTTCCTTTTTTATGTTATTTCGTTGTTTGATTTAAAATGCAAATTATTGAGATTATATATTTTTTGTTTAGTGTAGAATTGGTTGCTCCTTCAATTTTTAAGTGAAAATAGATCGATGTGCACATGGACAAAGTCAAAGGAGTGAGCAATGCTGAGTTTGTGCAATTCTCCGATTTTTTTTTTTTAAGTGAAAATAGATTGATGTGTACATGGACACTTAGTTTGTGCAATTCTTTGACTTATTATTTTGGTTTTATGTAGCAGCCATCTTGAAATTTTGCCTTAATGGCCAATCGCCAAGGGGCACCCTAAAACATATTTTTACCAACCGTAGTACCATTTGTTTAAGCATATGTGGATTTGCACTTTTGAAATTCAGCTGTCACTATTTTTAATTAATGTTTCTTTTTGCAATTGTTACATTTGTTTTAACAAATCATGGGGAGACTGCGGAGTTTGTTGGCTGACAAAAACGACAGCATGGCCCTTTTGTCCAATGACAGAGAATGCAAAAATTCACATAAAGTTGTACTTCATAAACGACTGAATTTTATGAAAATGTAATGCAAAAAATTGCAATCAAAGTGTTAGAATGTGGGTTAGTAACTTCTTTAAAGACAATCTTATCTCATTTACAACAGCAGATAGAGTAAACTGAAGGGTAATCCCTGAAATATCGCAAAGTTGTTGTTTCATTTATGGTAATATGAGTAGTTGAATGTTCAGTAAATATACTTTTATGTAGAATTGGGTGCTCCTTTGACTTTTTAAGAGAAAATATATCGATGTGTATATGGACAAAGTCAAGGGAGTGCACAGTGTCAAGCTTGTGCAATTCTCTGATATTTTTTTATCTAGTCAAAGAATTGCACAAAAACAGTATCCATGCACCGCCAAAATTCGCAGATTTTCACCAAGGGGTACGCATAAAGCTATTCACTTATCGTTGGCTAGTGTCTTTTCTTTTTTTTTTTAGCAAAAACAGATTATTGTGTAATGGGTAGAACAACAGCGTAAAAAAATTACAGAATGATTCTTAAAAAAAGATTTGATTATTACTATTTTTTGCTTTTTAAATTCAATTAATTGATCTTTTATATAATTACTAATGGACTGCCATTCTGAAAATGACTCCTACCAAACACACACAAACTATCACCTTGCCAAAAAAATATCCAGCAGCTGGTTTGCAAATGCTCTCCATAATCAGCATCAAATTCATTCTTCAGTGAGAGTGCAGATAATCACAAAGTACCGGAATTATAAAAGAACCTGCTGATCAAAATTTTAAACTTTCCTCAGGAATGCTATTCATATTAAACCCTAAATAAAATTTTGTTTCAATTATTTCTATGATGTGAATTTTAAGCTATACTAAAACAGAAACTGACACTTTATTATCACCATCATCCAGCAAATTTAGCTAAATATGAGAAACATTCTTATTCCCAATTGTTTTCAACTGGGTATGTTAATAATTAGTACCACCATATTTATTCTACATTACACATTTAGAGACATATTAAATGATTAAAACTGCACTTGATTCTGATTCATTGCAGGGCATTACTGCCATTGCAAAATAATACGGACTGCAACTGCAGTTTGTAAATAGGAATTGCATTAAAAAACAAACATTTTAAGACCAATGCAACAGTTTAAAGAAATATATAGTTTGTAAAAACAGAAGTCTATATGTAATATTAACTCAAAAGCCCTTCAGACCCTAGCACATTGACTAGGGTCTAGCTAATTAATCTAATGTGAATATAACAAAGTCCTATGAAGGCTCTAATTAACTTTCTTTCATTTAACTTGAATTTAAACAAAAAGCATCACTTGTGCATTTATGAGTAGTAAGGCAACATAAATTTTAATTTACAATTTAAAATTATCATAGTCGGAGACAACATGAATTTGGTCTAAGATTTTCCAAAGCTTTTTTTTTAATCACATACTTAACATCAACTAGCAGAATGCCTAAAGACTGAATATTAGCAGGGAGTGCTGGACAGAGGAAAACAAAGCTGCAAGGACAGCTGGAAAAATTTAAAGCATTAAGCTCTAAAGCACACAAAAAACTTTTTTTTTTAATTCTTTTCAACCGAATTTGTATCCTGGTGAGGGTTAATGGAAAGGAGAAGTTATAGTAACAATTCAAATCATAAAAATTGGTTAATGAACATAAAATACATGCATTTTCAACTTCGAAAAGCTAACTGAATTACGATTATTCATGAAAATTACTCAAAAAAAAAAAAAAATTAGCTGATAATAAAGCTCAGTGCTATGAATAAAGTTTAAACTTTTGCACAAAGACTCAAATAGTAAATGTACATAAAAGTAAAACTCCCACTACCTATTTTTACGAATACCACTACTATTTTTATGAATCTACGAGATACAATCCGTAAGATTTGAATTTTAATTATAACTTATAATTTTAGGGAAGACTGCAGAAATTTTATACAAAAATTCGTATCTATAATTTGTGTATTTATTCGGAAACACGGATTTATATATTCGTAAAGAGATAGAGCGAAAATATTTTACAGCTATACGATAAAAGCATTAATGTTTATGAAAATACTCCTAAAATGGCTTAATATGCTAAATATTGAAATAAAAACAACATAATTTAATCTAACCTATACCTCACTATATAAATCAAGAATTTCTGGCGTTCTAAGACTTTTGTAGTCCGCGCTTTGACTCGCCGGTGTTGCCAGATCGCAGAAGTAAAGTTTGAATTCAGGGGGGGCCCAAGAGCGATGCGCAGTGCAGGGAGAAAGTTATGCCACATGCGCATGACGTCATGTGGGTGACAGCGTTAGTTCTTGGCGTTTGTTTACTTTCGTTGCATCAACAGTTTGATTTGATTTGTGTTGTTAATTTGCTATTATACCTAGGCGGAAGTGGCAAATTGTGCAATAGCGTTGTGTCAGAATTATACACGTTAATACGTTTTTTGGTGGAAAACACTCTTTACAACCAGATAAAATAACTATTTTTTAATGAATTTATGTAATTTTCATACATAAATGTGATGTAATTTTACATTTATTTTCATTTTACTGCTATTTTACATTTAAATTGAAAAATTTCTCATTTTAAATCATTTTTTATCATAATCTTCATTTTGTGTATGAGACTTACATCGTAGTGAGATATTTAAACTCAGTGTCATGTTTACCAATACTGAGTACCTGAATGATTAGTTAATAAATTCGCGTATCCAACTTCATTCACATGTTTTGGTTACTTTCTTTACATCCCAAACGTAATTCTATGTATTGAAGCAGCGTCTGGGTTAAGCTTTGCGAACTAAGTAAACTGATACATGCCTCACCGTGAGGAAAGAACAATTTCTCGACCACACTATGATGCAAACATCGAATGAGTGAGTGACATATTTCCTTCAGTGTTATTTAACTGATGCATACAGGTATGTGTGATGTAATTTAATTGATATAACTAACTTACACATGCTTGAACCCTGAAGGAAAACAAATCTGTGTATAATGCTAGAATACAAATAGCGAAAGAGTAAGTAGTAAGATATTCTGTTTCAGTGTTATTTAACTGCTGCATATGTTTTAATTTTGATTCCATATAACTTGTTTTTAATTATAAGAGAAAGAAAAATAATTCAATATTGAACACATATTTCGAGTATAACAAAAGTATTTTAAGAAACAACCCTGATAAAAATACATTAGTAATTAAAAATATTTAATTTGTGTACAGGCTGAATTGAAATTAAGATGTGGTGGTGTATTTAATTATGGCAAAGCACACTAGGGCTATCTGCGTAATAGGTGTGATGCCTTCGTGGAGGACTTTCTCAGGGAAACTGGCTCGTATACACGTTACACATGAGGAAAACCACAAAAACAGCCATGCAGCCAGCCCGTTCGCGGGATTCGGACCGAACTACCAGTGTTCAGCGACTTTACCGCTCGGCCGCTGGTGGGCCGAAACTAAGATGTAGGGCAAGTTTATTATTATTATTATTGTGCGTATATGTGTAAGAAAATGTATTTTAATTGTTCCATTTTTAATGTATGGAAGGAAGAATAGGATGCCAATATCGAAGATTATTTACTATAGCAAATAATCACGTCAGGATAAATGTTATATAGAAATCTTGTTGAGTGTAAGGGATTATAAGAGTACTTTTAGATTATACTGAAAATATACGCACTTCTGCTAAAATCTGAAGTGAATCAGTATGAAGTGACTTTTCACTTTAAAAAGAATGTGATAAGTATACTATTTAAAAGTATAATGACGGATATTAAGAAATTTGTAGAATTTTATGGTATTTAAATATGAATTTGTTAAGTCAAATCTTTTTATATATATTTTTGCTTGAGATATGTAATTTAAACTGAAATCACGATCATATATTTCTCATGGAATGTCAAAGTTCATTTGTATTATAAAAAAAAAGTGCATGAGCAATGAAAATAAATAGAATAATACTTTTTGATTATGTTTTTACCATGGTCTTAGCAGTTATGCCATCATGTGTTCTGTTCAACAAGATTTATTTAGTGCAAACAATACTACGAAAAAATATTGAAAAATACCTTGTTTTACAATATTTATTTCCCTTAATTAACTTAAATATCGTTTTTCATTTTCTAATGCTTTCCTTTACGAAAAGAATTTAATGTTTACAATTATTTTCAGCATTCGTACGAATTCTGTGCATAAAATAAACATTTTCTTTAACAAAATACTTAATCGGAAAGTATATACCCGGTATTTCCGGTGTATCTACCACATATAAAATGATCATTTTGCTTTAGTTTACATTTTTTCCATTACCAAAATCATGTAGCAGACGCGTCGGCCGATGCGTCTTGTCTCCCGGGTGACGTCACTACCAGCAACCAATGGCACGCTTTTTCCGTTCCTGGCCTACCTTATAAAAGAACACTTGAATAATGTTATATTTAAAAGACTTCCATGGTATTGGTTATTATTTCATAAAGGTGACGGACTATTTCCACCCTACCCCCTTTCGATTTGATGTCAGGAAATGCTAGTTCGCTGGAGGTAATTGACATGCGCGAGGGGAAGTAATAAAAGAGCTTAGGCTTTCACTTGTAAACAGTGTTAAGTATATTGTCTGATAGTGCATTCGTTTATGTAATGCATAATTTTACTATTTCTGTAATAAGAAAACTTCATTCAGATAAATTATTTAATATTATTATTATCTGCTTATAGGATTATACGAAATGCTGAGTACTCTAGGTACTATCGTAATCTTCGCATAACCTTTCACATTGGATTTTGCCTTATCATTGTAAAATATATTGTATTATAAAGATTAAATCAAAGCAAATTACTTTGTTAGAGATGTCAATGTTCTAACTGAATTTTCTTTTTATCACGTATTATTTATTTCCTCTTTGAAAACACATTCATATTTGACAAATAATTATCTCCGGTGAAAATTTTTTGATTGTTTGAAAACTATATTTGTCAATAATATAATAAAAACTCAATCTAGTGCTTCATAGATCAATATGACAACAAATTCAAAATGTTTTAAAAACAGTTCTTAAATCTTTATTTTGCAGTAGATGCAACTAATGTCACAGAGAAAAAAATATTTCAATAAAAATGTTCTCCATGTTAATTCAATAGCCAAATAATTTCTATTTCAGTGAGAAATCCACTTTCAATGCTTATATAACAGAAAAATGGTATATAACATAAGCATTTTAGCAATACATAAGCAATGGGCTTATATAACATAAGCATTTTAGAAGTTTTAAATATAAGCTTAAAGTTTATTGTACAATTTTATGTAAGAAACGTAATAATTTACTTTCATTCCTTTTAAATTGGCATATTAGTTTCCAATCAACTAAAATTTTTGGGGTTTAATCCTAGTATCCCTTGCACACAGGATTTGGCGACTTTATGATGAGCAGTAAAAGCAGGACATATACGATGAGTAGTTAACCGGTCATTCAAAGAAAATATACAGTTAAACATAGTATATACTATGTATATAGTATATATACTATGTGTGTATAGTATATATATATAGACGTTCTTTGGATCATTTTTGGTGTTGGCGATAATTTTCAAAGTCACGCCAAGGCTGCACTGTATACTAGGATTTTACCAATTTTTGGCAAGGTAGAGACTTAACACACAGTATTCCGTCACTTAAAATATCAATTAATGGTACTTTTCCGGTTTGCTGGCGCAAATCTCGCCAAGCAGACTTTATTGGCGACAACATACAAACATACATTTTGAAGGCATAAACATTTTAATATCGCTTAAAATTTTATAAAAAGCCAATAAATAAACACAATAAATTTGTAAAAAGACATTGATTTAAGAATTTACTATGCTTTCATGGTTCAACATCCTGATTCGCCGGTTTATATCACGTGACCCCAAGCTATCTCATCTCACGTAAACTACTCTACAAAAGTATAATGCTCTCAGTAATTATCTACATTAACTTCAAGTTAAATCTTAATTTGGAACACAAGTTTAAATGCAAGAAATATTTCAATTGGTACGAATAGCTTACTCAGAAACTATGTAAAACTGCAGTGCTTTACTTCGCTAATGCATTCTCATTAGAATGGATGAATTTAACTCATTGCTATGTCATAATTCACATTGCTATGTCAGAGACAGTGGCAGTCAAGTGAAGTAAAACCGGTTTGCTCACGACATACGTTTGACTTTACCTTTTCTATATTTTCGGCTCCGGTAAGCGCTGTGTGATTGATCATCCTAATTGACTTAATTACCGAAAATGGGCTTAGACATAAAACTGAACTATCTGATAAAAATTCTATGTAATTATATGCCAATATTGAAAGAAACAACGAGTCTGATAAGAAAAAGCTGTGACTTGTTTTGAAAATGAGGCGTAAAAGGTTACCAGCGAGAATATTCCGTTTGGCATCGGTTGTACCATTATTGGCGACTTTATCGCTTGCGCCGGCAAAACGGAAAGTACCCAATTAATAGTTCTTTTTCATTTAGAGATACATTGGAATTGAAAATACCAAAGGCAAAATGGGTCACAGATCCAACCTAATTCCTTATTTGGAAATTTTTCAAAAAATTTTCTGTCAATTTTATCAAATGTTGTTTTAAACAAGAAATCTGTATTATTTTCTTTAGTAAATTCTGAAAAGCATGTTTCTGTTCAATTCTCCTTGCCAAAGTATTGGCTTAGTTTTAAAAGCTTCCATTAGTACAAACTGCGACACAGTGTCTAGATAAGATCATTCTTTTCAAAATGTCTGTTAATAATTTCAAATATTTTCTCTTCCAGTTGCATTTCCTTTCCAAATATTACAACATAAAAAATGTTCTACTGCGTCGTCTTCAAAAACGTATCTCAGATAAACGGTGAATTGAGACATTTTTATTAATGTCGGTAGTTTCATCAAGTTTTGTAGTAAAGACTGGATTTTGTATTCTATAGTGTCTTATATTACAGAAATTTAGTGAGAAACGGTATCTTTCTTTAATGCTATTGTTTTTAAATCATTAGTATATTTTTCTGCAAGTATAAATGATGTCATTTTAATTGCTGAAAGAAGAATGTGCGATTCTCCAATTGTATGAGGTTTAAATTTTTTGCAATTAAATATGAAACTTTTAAGATGCCCAGTGACTGGTCGGACCAGGCGATTCTTGGCAACCAACTTCCTACAGCAACCTCTATTTTTCCCCGCCGCCATTTGTCTTCACG